GTTATTTGATCTAGAGCCACTGAAAAAAGAGTCGGCAGTACATTTGCGTACGCTAATTGACACGGTATCTGGTTATTTAAAAGCGCTCGAGTCTTTAGGACAAACTCCAGACAGTTGGRGCGCATTGTTATCTCMTTTAATAACGTCAAAACTGGACGCAAACACGAGACGAGCATGGGAAAGCGAAGCGACCARGATGGAAGATTGCGGAGTGCCAATACTAATAGATTTTTTAAAATCACGTTTTCGAATTTTGGAGGCGATAGAATCAAATAAAAACATGAATACACAGGTACTAACRGACATTCCAAAGTTCAAGAAATCAGGCGACAGGTCTTCATCATTTACAACTACCACATCTTTCAGATGCTATAATTGCAATGGCTCRCACTCAATTTATAAATGTACCAAATTTCTAGCACTCACAATACTAGAGAGAATAAAAAGAATTAATGACTTAAAATTATGTAACATATGCTTACGCGCACACTCCGACAAATGTAAGTCACGTAATTGTCCGAAATGCGCGCGTCCACATAATGGTTTGTTGCATGCGTCGCGCGCTAATAATAATAATATACATACAGGCGGTGCGAGGAACGGCGGCGAATCGTCCAACACCACTCCACCTGCGGAGAACGATAGAAATGATATCGCTAATGAGGCAATGATTAATAGCGCACCCGCATCGGTAAATGCTCATGCACGTCAAAATAGTGAAGTAGGTMAGGTATTGTTATCAACGGCCGAGATTCTCGTATTCGACAGTCAAAATAAACCGGTTTTGTRCCGTGCGTTACTGGATAGTGGATCGCAGCACAATTTTATGACCGAGTCATTGACCCGGCGTTTAAATTTAAAACGAATAAAGTCATCGTGTTCGATAATCGGCATTAATGATGCATCGCATACGTCTACGTACAAAGTAACAACTACTTTTAAATCGCGTATATACGACTATTCATTAAATTTGGAATTTTTTGCACTTCCCAATTTAACGAGCAAGTTACCGTTGATGCCGGTTAATCTGACAGAACTGAAGATCCCGGTGGATATAAGCTTGGCGGATCCATCTTTCCACGTGCCTAAAAAAGTAGATATCATTTTAGGCGCCGAAATATATTTTGAATTACTAACTAAAGAACAAATTCAGACAGTTTCACGGGGGCCAATTTTCCAGGGCACTCGTTTAGGTTGGATCATCGCGGGACCCATCCCTTCGCCAACAAATCAAGCCGAAAACTCAACATTTTCATTATGTACGAGCGTAATGTCCGAATTCGCAAATATAKAAAATCAAATTGCCGAATTTTGGCGCTTAGAGGAGGTAAAGAATTGCAACGTATACACATTAGAGGAAAAAAGGTGTAAACAACATTTCGAGTTAAATGTAAAGCGTGGTGAAGACGGGCGTTTTACAGTAAGTCTACCTTTTCGTGACAATGCTCCTAGATTAGGAAAATC